ACGGAGCAAGATATCCTCTCCTATTAGGGTATCCTGAATCAGCGAAAAAATATTTTCCTTCAGGGGGAGTTGGAAAATATTTGTCATTTTGTGCACAATATGTCAATATCTTTGAATCATGTGCTCTTCCCGGTGTCCCCACATATGTATATATAAACTCCATTCTGAAGTTACATATCGCAAGCACGTTCATGGTAGGATGTTGCTTCCGTAAATTCCAATACTTTTCTTTTTTTTTCAGATCCAACTCTCAGTGACACATGTGTACTATCAAGAGCTCCTATGCAACCACTAAAGAAGGGATAATACCTTGTATCAGAAGAGAGGGTGGTGCTTACTTGACGAAGTTCATTTTCTCCAGGCTTTATAATATCTTGAGACATGCGAAAAAGTGCATCCAAAATTTCATGAAACTTTCTATTCACTGTCTCTTGATTACGTTGATAACGTGTTGCGATTGTTCGTTGGACTTCATCATGCGCAACCGTTTCAAGAAACATTGCAACAGCCTCTTCTAGACTACATTCTCGAGATTCTCGTAGTCCATAGTCACTCCTTAACTTATCACATAATAGTCGAAAAGTTTCTTGATGCATTCATAGAGTTTCATAGCATTCTTGATCATGGCCATTTATCATTTGCATTGTATGGCGCCATCCTCGCCCTCTATCAATTCTCATTAGTACTCTATCACGGTGTGGATCCAAATCTTCACTCTCAAGCAACAGCATAATTATTTTAAGAAGATTCTGGTTGTAACAAATAATTAGTTCCTACAATAAAAATAAAAACAAGAGTTAATAAGAAAATCACCTTAAAAAATCATGTTAGTGACCACAAAAATAATCATGCTATCTCTACACAACATAATTCACTATCAAACAACAACGAAGTTTTTTGGTTTTGTAAAAGAAAAATAAACTACACAAAACGTTAAAAAGACAAGTCAATTAAGAGAATCACCTCAACACTTGGGATTTGCAAAGGAATCTGTGTTTGGTCTGCCATGCTATCTTCTGCACACACAAAAAATACTTTTATAATGAAATTGGCTGCATGTTTAAATTATGTATAACAAATAGATAGATTAGTTTCACCTTTGTAGTTTCAACGATTTGGTGAAGTGTTTCTCGTAAAGATCGAGGTGTTAGTATTTATAGAGATTATTTTAATTTCGTAAATAACAAAATATCTTTATTATTGTTAATGATTATAAGAAATATATTAGGATGGATTACAGAACGATCTTTAACAAAATCTTTTTGTTTGTTTCACTTTCAAAAATATTAATTTAAATCTGAATACGAGAATATTCAAAGCATATCCAAAGATTCTTTTTGTGGAAACCAAAAAAAATAGGCACAGAAAATTATAGAACTTGAATATAAGTTCACAAATAACAACGTGATTTTGAAAAAGCTTAATCCATCTCGTCGGTCTGTTTAACTTAAAACATATGTCTATTCACTTTTTGAAAACAACGTGCTTTTGTAGATAATATTTTGCAAACCCTATATTAAAAACTTAAACAGAATCTAAATTAAAATTTAAACAAATGACACATAAAGTTTTAATAAATTATTCTCCATTATTAAAAAAAAAGATTACTTAAATTCAAAAAAAAAATTGATCCTAGTTCAGAATTATTAAAAAACTAAATAAAATAGTCATAATTATTAGAAAACAAAATAAATCCTAAATGCTAAAAAATAATTTTAAGTTCATGCTGCCCAATCATTTTTCCCTGTTTTTATTGCTAGAAAGTTGATCTTCTCAGCTTCATTTGGCAGAGACATGAAAATTTGACGGCCACTTTCGTTTGAAGCAAGATAATCAATCGCATCCCAATACAACTCACTCCCATGATTGAGAGTAGTTATCTTTAAGAGTTCTTGCATACACACTGCACAACTAAATGGATTTAGAGATTCAAATGTCTCTCTACCACCTTTCCAAAATTTGCCTTGGTCTTCAATAGCAGTTGTGAGACGGTCCCACTTATCTGGATTTGCTTGTTTACGAGAAGCTACAGCTTTGCTTTTACCACGTGGTGCCGATTTTCCAATCGGTCCAATTGGTTCCACCTCTTCATCTGATTCGACCACTTGTGGAAATGGGCTTGGTGGATCGCGAAGTAACTGACTTGGTCCAGCACGAGGTTTCCATCCTTCATTGACCGATACTATGATTCGAGCATAAAGACGATCAAGTAGAGGTATATCTTTAAGAGGATGTGTTCGTAATTTGGATGCTTCTGGACAACTCTACAAAACAAAATATAAATACTTAAATTATTAATTATATTTTAGTAATATTATGTATTTTCATTCTATATATTTAAAAATATGGAATTAATTTAATATTAAAATACTTACTCTTATTAGTTCATTCCATCAATCTGATCCCATGTCGATTTCTCCAGCTTCATTAAATCCCAAACCAGTTGCATTTCGGGTGATGCGTTTGTAAACACCATACTACTTTTTTAAATGATCCATGCGGTGTTTGAATATTCTCCATGGGAGATCCAAACCAAAAAGTTTCAGGAATTCAGCTCGAACACTCTGTCTACCAATTTCATCAAGGCTTGTCCCTTTCCAATGACCTTTGTGTCGTTTTGATCATTGCATAATTGCAATACTCCATGACTCAGTTGGGGAGTCCACACGAATTTTGGCTAAATAATAAAAGTACATGAAACAAATTATTTATGTTACTATACAACAAAATATAAACGTCAAAACTGTAGAAAATAAAGTCAAACAAGGATCTCACCTCAGCATTTGGTGTTTGCGTGGGATTTCGTGTTTGATCTGCCATGATTTCTCTACATAGAAATATATTTGACAATGATATTAGTTGTAAGTATGAAAAAAAGAACGATCAAATATGGTAGAAGTTTTACCTTTTCTTGTTTCAGGCTTTGGTGAATTGATTGTAGTTGGCGTTACTTTAGTATTTATAGGGGTTTTCATTCTTATTAACAATTTCAATCAAGATATTAAACATAAAATATAAGATTTTGTTAACAAACTCTTTTTAAGTTATGATATTTTCAATTTTAAAAAATTAAATTCAATATAAATATGAGAATATTCAAAGCATATTCTAATATTTATTGTGAATTTTGACTAAAACAAAAACAAAAATAAAAAACAGAAAAACCACAGAAAATTTGCAAAGTTTGAAAAGATATTTAATTTTCTTGTTTGTGTATAGATAATTTGGATGATAAACTCTTCAATTCTCAGCGTGATAACGCAGTGGCGTAAACAGCGGCTCCACCTTTTTCTCACACGTGTGAGAGATAGCAAAAATAAGTATGATGGGCGTTGACCTTTAGCTGTTACTCCCTAACGTCCATAGAAACGTGATAACAATCACGCTTTAAGTACATCACTGATCACAAAGGTCAGACCATTTCAACTGTTCTACTTGAGTGTTTAGTTGATTGGGGTATAGAGAAGATTTTTTGTATCACTGTTGACAACGCAACTGCAAATTCATCGGCTCCTAGGAAGTTTAAGGCTAGTTTTAGTTTGCTTGGTAATGATGCAATGGTGCTGTTTGGGGATTATATGCATTTGCGTTGTTCTGTACACATCATAAACTTGATAGTGAAAGATGGTTTGGCTGCTGTGGATGTTAGTGTTGCTGCTATTCGTAATGCTATTTGCTATGTGAGATCAAACACTACTAGACTAAGATCGTTTGAACTGAGGGTTGATTCAGGAAAGTTAACAAGAGACAGTTTACCTTTAGATTGTAAACTCGTTGGAACTCTACATACTTGATGTTGTCAAAGGCTCTTGAGTTCAGGGTTGCATTAAACAAGATGGAGGCAGAGGACAGGTTTTACAATGATTACTTTTTGGAGTTTGGGAATGGAAACAAACGCATTGGAACTCCTGAGATTGTAGACTGGGAGGCGATTGAGAGGTTACTTCGGTTCCTCATTATCTTTTACAATTCCACCTTGGTTTTATCAGCATCCACTTCTCTTAACTCTTTTTAAGTGTTACGGTGAGATAGTAACAATAGAGAAGAACCTTATAGGCTTGACTAATAGTTTAGACTTAGAGTTGAAGGCTAAGGCTGAGGAGATGGTTAAGAAGTTCGATAAGTATTGGGATGGTATGAGGAACATCAACAAGATGTTGATAGTAGCAACAATGTTTGATCTTAAGAAGAGTATGAAGTTTGCTAAGTTGTGTTTCTAGAAACTCTACGAGAAAGATACCACAGATGCTAAAGAAATGTCTGCTTCTGTCATGGTTGTCCTTGAAGATTTGTTCAAAGAGTACATTACTCGTTTTGGTCCTGGTTTACGAGTTGGAGCATCTCAGCCGACACAAGCTGCATCATTTGGTAGCCAGGAGCAATCAACGGATGAAAGGATCGATTTGATTGATGATTTTGGGTACAAGAGGATGGATTGCATGTATGACAAATTGGTTGAGCTGATAGAAGTTTGTGAAGCAAAATATGAGTTGGAAACTTATCTGAAAGAGAGTGTTGTCAATCGAGAACCATGCTTGGAGTGGAGTTTGATGTTCTGTCTTGGTGGAAGGTACATTACTCCAAGTTTCTTATTCTTGCAGAGATTGCTCGTGATGTCCTTGCCATACAAGTCTATTCTGTTTCTTCTGAAAGTGCATTTAGCACTAGTGGCCGAATCATTAGTCCTCATAGGAGTTGCCTAACTCACTATATGATTGAAGTTCTAATGTGTTTTGAGCAATGGATGAAGGCAGACTTGCGTGGCAGTGAAGATAGAGTGATGACAATGGAACATATTCTCAATGAATTTGAGTATGAAGACAAGCTCAAAAGAGGTATATCACTTATAACTTATCAGTTATCACTTATAACTTTTAATGTGTTCTTGACAATGCTTTGCTTTATAACTTGTTTCAGAGTTTGATTCTCAAGCAACACAAGAGGAATGAGTCAAGGAGAAGCTTTGGAGAAGTGGAGGATACGCTTTGGAGAAGTTGAGGATGTGCTTGGTTGGTTTCTTTGTAGTATTTTGATGTTCTCTTTTTGTTTTTTAGTTTGTTCTCTTGTTGTTGGTTCTCTGTTGTTTTCAAAACTTGCATTGCGGCTAAGAAGTAAGATCAGTATATGTTTTGTTCCTTTTTCAAATATGGAATGAAATTTTTGGATTACCTATGTGTTTCTACCATTATTGTTGTTATTTTTAAATCCTTTGAGTCTTTGACTCCTTCAGTCTTGATTTATACAATTCAAACTTCAATTTTCAAAGTTTGAAATAAGCTCTTTAAGTCTTTATATGTACTGTCTTTATAAGAGTATACAACAAGAGAAAAAGATGATGCGCAGATCAGCTATATGGGAGCACTACACAAGAATAGAAGATAATCAAAACAAAAATACATGTAACTATTGCAACAACACTTTTGCTTGTCCTCCTAATATTGGCACACCCATCCTCCGTAGACATCTTCAAAGCTGCAAATAGTTCAAAATATGTGTCTATGTGATAATGTGAAGAGTATAAAATAATGATATGCTTGATATTCATGTTTTTAACTTATTTCAGATCATGATATCCAACCGAGACAAGAACTTGTTCAGGAAGTAATTGAAGTGATTAAAAAATTTAAAATATGAAAGCAATGGAGATGGGATTTTGGTTAAGTATTATGATTAAATAATTGATTTAAGTACTTTTTTGGTTATTTGGGTTACAATTTGGAACCTTCTGATGATTTCTTCGATCAAATCCTCGGCCTTCCTAACTTCTCTGGTGGTGGGTTAGGCGGAGGAGGAGCACCGCCGATGATGCTGCAGTTGGGTTCAGGCGAGGAGGGGAGTCACATAGGAAGTGGGATTCACAGTCAGATGTTTCCTCTAGGTTTGAGTCTTGATCAAGTGAAAGGACCTAACTTTCTAACACCTGAAGGTGGTCTTGGAAGTGGGAAGCGTTTCTCAAATGATGTTGTTGATCATCGATCCTCTTCTTCTATGAAACCTGTAAGCTTACTTCTTCGTTTGCTATCTTTAGTTTCTTGTTGTCTAAATTGCTTTCCTTTACGGCTTATGGAGTCAAGTTTTTTGTGCAAATGGTTTAATTTTTTACATCTTTTTTTTTTTTGTTGTTAAAAGATATTCCACGGGCAGCCGATGCAACAGCCAGCTCCATCAGCGCCGCATCAGCCGACATCAATCCGACCTAGGGTTCGCGCTAGGCGTGGTCAGGCCACTGATCCACATAGCATCGCTGAAAGGGTAAGATTTTGATTTTGTATCTTCTTGTTATATACATGCAAGTAGTTGAAAGATGTAGGCTCTATCTGCTATCATTGTGTTTTCACTGAATGATTTTAAATTTGCCACAGGTACGCAGGGAAAGGATAGCGGAACGGATCAGGGCGCTTCAAGAACTTGTACCTACTGTTAACAAGGTGTGTGTATCTTTCACCTGGGAGCTTCACTATGTAACCTTTCTCATCTCTGTTACATGGAGTTCACAAAGATTTAACACTTGCTGTTTCTCTCTGCAGACAGATAGAGCTGCGATTGATGAAATTGTTGATTATGTAAAGTTTCTCAGGCTTCAAGTTAAGGTAATCTAACAAGCTTTTAATGTTCCAAAGAATAAACAAGTCCCAAATGCTTTTGTTTTCTTTGACATTTAGTCTCTTTTTTCACTTTTGTTTTGTTTCTTATGGGAGGATAATCATGGTTTAGGATTAAAATACCATATTAAAAGATCAAACATAATCATGATGGTAACATTATAATATAAACATCTCTTAGATCAAACGCCTCTTAATATCAAAATGCAGTCGGTTGCTTAAAGCTCCTGTCAAGCAAAAAAGAAGGAAGTCTCTCTTTACTTTACAAAGAGACATAAAGAAAATAGAATGTAATGATGGCTTTCTGATAACACAATAAAAGATGTTTATCCTCGTGGGATAAAGCTTATCCTTTAGAATGATGATTTATATTTCTTTCTTTGGTCAAACTTTTGGTAGGTTTTGAGCATGAGTCGTCTTGGTGGAGCCGGTGCTGTTGCTCCACTTGTTACTGATATGCCTTTGTCATCATCAGTTGAGGTAAAAAGAAAACTTTTTTTGACTGAAAAGATCAAGTGGTAAATGGGTTTCAAATTCAAACTGTTTGTTAAAATCTCAATAGGATGAAGGGAGTGAAGGTGGAAGGACACCACAAGCAGCGTGGGAGAAATGGTCTAACGATGGGACTGAACGTCAAGTGGCTAAGTTGATGGAAGAAAACGTTGGAGCTGCGATGCAGCTACTTCAATCTAAGGCTCTTTGTATGAAGCCAATCTCATTGGCTATGGATATTTACCATTCTCAGCCTCCGGATACTTCACCATCCGTGGTTAAACCAGAGACGAATCCTCCTCCACCCAAGGATTCTTGTGCAAGTAAGGGCTTGTACAGCAATCCAACAGCCCATGACTCTGGTTTCTTGCTGTTTCACTTCCCTCCCACACCCGCTTCTTTGGTAAATTAATGGAGATGGGATCTCAATGTAGGATGTTGCAGTAGAAGGGAGAATTTGTCAAAAGACTCACTTGTTTAATTATAATTTTTAAAATCATTTTACATTTATTTTTGAGGTGGTCTTTGACGAAAGAAGCTTTTTATTTTCATGACTTTAGTGGGAGGTTGATGAAGGAGCTTCGAGTAGTAGTAGTGGGAAGGTGTGGGACTTGTTGAGTTGATGCGACATTGGAAGAAGAACAAAGTACTTAGGTAGTACTATTATTTTTTTGTATGATTTGGGAGTGAAAAATATGATTTAATAACTTATTTTCATCTTAGCTTTGTAGAGAAACATGAAGGTGTTTATTAAAGCAGCCGCAACGGTATGAAAGTCGGGGTCCTTGTGTCTCGATTTGTGCTCCACACGTGCGAGGCTCCGTTTTGAAAAGAGGAAATGTTAAGGAGCAATCCTTAAATTGGTACTTTGCACGACGAGTCCTTATCGACGTGGCATAGAACGATTGGGGCGAGAAATCGGTTTGGTTCGCGAGGAAAAAAACACTATCATTCTCGATCATCTCCGATAAAAAAAAGAAGGTCAAGAGAGAAAAGGCGATTTCGGCGAAATCCTCTCGAATCCCCTTGAAGCCACTCGAATCCGATCAAATCTCTTAATCATCGTAAGTATCTACCTTCATCTTGTTGATTAATTGTTGGTATTCGAAGCATATCAGTGTTTAGGGTTTATTTGGTTTTGCAATCGATTTGGGGGAAATTTTAGGGTTTCTGCTTTTACTAATTAGGGTTTGTCAATCGATTTTCCTAGGGGTCGGTATCTTCTGATTTGGGGTTTATACAATCGATCTTCGTTTTAATCGATTCCTAATTCTTCGTTTGGGGTTTTATCCTTCCGTAAATCCTCCAAGGCTTTATTTATGGACTTGTGTCACTATATCTCCAAGTTTGAAACACGTTTTAACATGTCTTCATTGTTAGAAAAGCTAGAATTTAGCTTTGTTCATTTTACTCCGAATTGTCATTTAGCTTTTGTGTGTGTGTGTTTCAAACTTGGAGTAACAAAAAAAAATCATAAATAAGAGCCTCTACATTTTAATTGTGTCATTTGAAATATGAGTATAATATAATTCATTTTTAATGATTCAACTTGTTAATTTTTTTCAGGTAATATGGGTCAAGATTACAGTTACACACAGCCCTCCTCATCAGATGAGTATGATTTCGCCTATGGCTGTCTTCTCCAAGGCGAAGGTGATGCTTTCTCCGGTGAAGCAGAGACTAATGCAGTGCCTGATCAGTATCCACCTCAACCTGAGTGTGATGACGGAGTCCCAAAGACATGCTACTGTGGGGCTGAGCCGGTTGTTGCAACGGCTTACACGTCAAAGGATCCAGGGAGGAGGTATTTCACGTGTGTCAATACCGAAGATGGAGAATGCCATATCTGGAAATGGCTTGATGTGGCCGTATTGGAGGAGTTGAGTGACATTCAGAGGCAAGTNTACACGTCAAAGGATCCAGGGAGGAGGTATTTCACGTGTGTCAATACCGAAGATGGAGAATGCCATATCTGGAAATGGCTTGATGTGGCCGTATTGGAGGAGTTGAGTGACATTCAGAGGCAAGTTCGTATGGTGAAGGAGCAAGCCTTTGAGACTGACCAGAAGCTGATGAAGATTGTGAAGACATTGTCCGAGTCTGCTAAGAGGAAACCATGTCTAACAAAGGGATTTGTCTTGTGTGTTTCTGCTCTGGGAACTCTACTAGGTTTCGTTGCTGCTGGCTGGTTAGTTTATTTCATTCAGCTTGTTTTCCTTATTAGAAATGTTCAGTTTATTTCTGCTAATTTCCCTTCTTCTAAGTGCAGGTTTGGCTTACACGGACTAAAAGCGAGTCCCTGACCACGAAATTCTTGTGTAAAAGGTACTACTTTCAAACTAACTACTTATTAATAAAACTGCTGAAACATAGTATTAAAAACTTATAAAACTTAGTCTTAACTACAAACTTAGTCTTAACTACAAATATATTGGTACTACTTTTAAACTACTTTAAAAACTGCTGAAACATAGTATTAAAAACTTAATAAAACTTAGTCTTAACTACAAACATAGTCTTGACTACAAAATATAACATGTAAATATAACCTGTAAAGCATAGTATTATTTAAAACTTAATAAAACTACAAATATATAGTTACTCTAACTACATATATATAGTTAGTCTAACGAATATCTTATTCAATGCCACCTTCTCGGATGTGATAGGTTTTAAATGTTAACCTGTTGCGTAGAGTGTACCTAAAGACACTTTAGTTCAAGTAGAGTGTCCTATAGCTTGGTTAAATGCCACTTACTACCATTCCACCTTCCTAACCCCTTCGATTGGATTGGTTTTAAATGCCATTTACTCTGAATGGTTATATTTTGTTTATTTAAGTCCTTTCCAGTACGAGAGCTTAACACAAATCCTCCTCTAAAATGAATATGAATTCTAGTTATGTAAACCTTCTCAATAGCCAACATAGCATTGATCTTGACACAGACGAACCAACTTGGTTCAGTGGCCAAGCTTCTACTGACTCTGCTGGTAGGGAGAGGAGGAAGTGGACTCCCAAGGAGGATAAAATCCTCATCGGGGCATGGCTAAACACGAGTAAAGATCCCATCGTTGCCAATGACCAGAAGGCTCCTGCGTTCTGGAAGCGGATAGTTGATTACTTCAACGCAAGTCCTTTAGTCGCTGGGACAGTACCTAGGGAGCATGTGCAGTGCAAGCAGAGGTGGTCCCGGATCAACGACCACGTCTCTAAATTTGTTGGGTGCTATGATGCCACACTGCGTGACCCGAAGAGCGGACGTAATGATGATGATGTGATGAGTGCTGCACTGGATATGTTCTTCAGTGATAATGGGGTTAGATTTCACCTCGAGCATGCGTGGAGGGAGCTGAGGAATGATGCCAAATGGTGCTCCCTAAATGCGAGTAAAGACAGTGCGAAAGATAAGCGCAAACCGTCTATTGCGGTTGATGTCGAGGAGGCAGAGTGTAGACCACCTGGTGTAAAGGCTGCTAAGGCGGCGTTGAAGCGGAAGAAGGGTGGGAAAGATGAGGAGATGGATAAGTTACAGGCCTTGTTGGAGATGAAAGAGAAAGTGTCTAAACATAAACTACTTGAGAGCTTAATTGCTAAAAATGACCCGCTTTCTGAGATTGAGGAAGCTCTCAAGCTCAAACTGATGACTGAGATGTTATGATGATGATGTGTTTGAACCTTTTAACTTTGTAGTTTGTATTAAGATGTGTGAGTCACGGCGCATTTCTATTTATGCTATCTCTTGTCTATATGTTGATTTTAATATCTCTCTATTTTTCTTGGCAGGTTGCAGTGGAGAAGTCACGGGTGGTTGTCTTGTAGTGGAGAAGTCACGGGTCGATGTTGCAGTGGAGAAGTCACGGGTGGATGTTGCAGTGGAGAAGTCACGGGTTTTTTGCTCTCACTGCACTTCTATATATGTATTGTTGTAGCCTTAAGTCTCCTTTCAGTTGTAGTGTACTAGTTATCTTTGTAATCTCTATCAAACCTTCTTTGTAACCTACTTATTATCTTTCTAAAATCTCTATCAAACCTTGCTTCTACTTTCTTGCATCTGCACTGCTATCCTTGTCGAGACAGGTACAAGTCCAAGTTCTCCGTAATAGGTTGTCAAACAAGTTCTATTTAGGTTGTGTACATTTCAAAAACTTGTTTTTATATGTTCTTCAAGTCATGCTATCTCTGCATCTTCTCTCGAAACACTTGCTTGTATAAAGACTACTTTATAGAACCATCTTCATTGAAAAACGCGATCATATATAGTAGATTGTTTATATTATTTGAAATGAACAACGATCAAGTATATAGAAACATATAGTCATATATTTTGTATAAAGACTACTTTATAGAATCATATATTTTGTTTACTGAAATATATAAACATCATTACTATATAAATCACAAATGAGTATCTGCCAAAATAAATGAGTACTTTGTGTATAAGAATATGAATTTAAAAAAATATCTATTTTGTAGAATCATTAACTTTAAAATTGCAAATGAGTACTTTGTGGAATTTATAAATTTTGTCACTTCATTCGACTTTTTTTTTGTAGGACAATGTCAGTTTCATCTGATGAAATTGATCAGAGATTGGACAATGTTTTTGACGAAATAATCGATGAAACATTCGACCGCATCGTTGAGGCCCAACCCAAAAACTCAACAAGACGTGGTTATATAGAACGGAACCGCGAAGAAGGACAAGACCGGTTATGGAATGACTATTTTAGCGAAGATCCTACATTCCCGGCACATATGTTCAGACGCCGTTTCTGTATGAACAAGGAATTATTCTTGCGTATTGTCCAACGCCTCTCAGAGAACGTTCTATTCTTTAAACAAAGAAGAGATGCAACTGGGAGGTTTGGCCTGTCTCCACTACAAAAATGTACGGCTGCAATTCGGCTTCTTGCTTACGGCTCTGCGGCTGACGCAGTTGACGAATATCTCCGACTTGGTGCAAGCACAGCTCTTTCGTGTCTACATCATTTCACTGAAGCAGTAATACAGTTATTTGGAGATGAGTATCTAAGAAGACCCACCGGTGTGGATCTCCAACGACTACTTGATATTGGAGAGATACGCGGGTTCCCGGGAATGATAGGAAGCATTGACTGTATGCATTGGGAGTGGAAAAATTGCCCAACCGCTTGGAAAGGACAGTACACCCGTGGTTCAGCAAAACCGACAATTGTCTTGGAGGCTGTTGCTTCACAAGATCTTTGGATATGGCACGCTTTTTTTGGTCCTCCAGGTACGTTAAACGATATTAATGTCCTCGATCGGTCTCCNCCGTACTACCTCACTGACGGTATATATCCAAAATGGTCCACATTTATCCAATCGATCTCACTCCCTCAAGATCCTAAATCACAGTTATTTGCTCAAGTTCAAGAATCAACCCGAAAAGATGTGGAACGGGCTTTTGGAGTATTGCAAGCTAGGTTCGCGATCGTGAAAAACCCGGCTCTTTCATGGGATAGGGAAAAGACTATGCACATTATGAGAGCAAGTATCATACTGCACAATATGATTGTCGAAAATGAACGAGATCGTCACACTCAGTACGATACATCTGAATTTAAAGAAGGGGAGTCATCAAGGAGTTCACGGGTGGATATGTCGTATGGTACCGACATTCCATCAAATCTCGGTAATGTGCTTGCCATCCGGAAAGATCTTCGCGATCGGCGAATTCATGAGCAATTGAAATACGATTTGGTCGAAAATATTTGGAAGAAATTTCGTGATCAAGCTTAATAAATATTGTATCTTTCTAGTTAATCATGCAATTAATAAAAATTGTAAAATTTCTCATGTTTTTTTAAAAAAAAAAGTTTTTTTTTTTAAGGATCCCAAAATGGAGTCCACCATTGGACTCAACTTTTAGACAAGAGTTCTTCACTATTCAAAAAAATTAAAAAAAAAAAAGGCAACAATAATACCTAAGGACCCCAATTTGGGATCCACCATTGTGGATGCCCTTACAGCAACTGCACATTAATGTTGGAAGGGATATGATAAAAAACAAAAGAGAAATGCTTTTTCATTCGTTTTAAAATGGGATCTAAATTTCAAAACCGAAGACTACAAAAGAGTATATGCTTATAGGCTTCGAACATAACCTATAGCCTTTTTTCATTATTTGAACCTCAAAAAAAACGGCGGCTTAGAGAACTTAGTTTAGCAAGGATCAAGATCACGGAACTGTGGTGGCTTTGGCTCGCCGAGCAATGTCGTGTTTCCTCCTTCAGGTCCGCACTTGATCCTCTTTGGGTTTTGAGTTAGATGTGCACTTGACCCGTTTAATGCAATGTGATAGTACCAAAAGTATCCAAATGTAATGTGTTGATATAATTTCTTACCGGTGGCTTTTCTCCTTTTCTTAGCTTTTCAACGATCTCTACAACTTTCTCAGGTAGACCTGGGCATTTTTACCCCAACCCGAAGTACCGACCTAAACCCGAACCGAAAAAACCGAACTCGGATCCAAACCATTATACAAAACTAACCGAAGAGACTTATGAGCCTAGTACTTCGGACTTTGGGTATAACCCGAACCAAACCAAAATCCGAAGTAGGATCCGAAGGCGAAATTAGTTAAATATGTTAATATTTTTATATATGTTAAGGTAATTTAGATAGTTTATAATATTCTAAATATTTTCATAGTCTATGTTATATGTTATTTTGAATATATCTTAACTAATTTAGATAGTTTAACTAATTTTTAATTATACTTGTGAATAATTTTCATATTTTGAATATTATTTTGTCAAATTTTTAGGTTTAAAAAAAATATTTTTGAACGATTTCAGACATTGGTTATAATCCAATCCAAACTGAACCCGGAAGGAACCGAACCGAACCCGATCCGATTATTAACAAAAACCGAATGGTACTTATGTATACAGTACCGAAAATCCGAAAATCCAAATCAACCGAACCGAAACCTATTGAACCACCAAACGCCCAGGCCTATTCTCAGGTGTAACGTCTTCCTGTGAAGTGTACCAATAAAAAATAGTGTGAATACGATTTTATTCCGGAAAACAATGCAGAAGAAAAGGAAAGTTATTTGACATATCCTTCTGATCCATTGGAATAATCTGCCACAATGATCATGAGCGCATTAACACACATAGGCCCGGCCCAGGGAAAGGCCAAATAAGCCACTGCTTAGGGCCCAAAATTTTTTTTGATCTTTTTAGGCTTAAAAAAAAATTATAAAGGGAAAAGGATCCATTTTTCAAATTGGAATAGGGCCCCCTGCTGGGTTGGGCCGACCCTAAACACACAGCATCCCTGTCAACAAAACCAATTGTATATGAGATTTTTCATTATATCTTTTCATGCAAAAGTATTAATCTTGGCGATGGTTCCACATCCATACCATGCATATCTCTCCAACAGAGAACAAACCATCCTTTGTGACTTCTGCACTGTACACAGTTAAAGCCAGAGATCGTTAAGACTGATAAACCGTGTGATCATGTTCATGAAAGGTCGGTTTAAAGAGCTCTACCACCACGTTTCACTCCCAAATCTTCTAGCAAGGCTGATTCGATATCTCTCAAACCACGGATCATGCAAGGTGTTGTGCCACAAACAAGCAGGTGGTACTTTCCAACCTGTTAAAGCAAAGAATGAAATACGAGTCATGAGTGTCTGCGATGTGTGTTTGACGAGTATAGTAGAGACTTGAGTTTATGGGTCGTAAGTAATTCTTACCTTTGCCCTGTTGAACATGGAGTAACACGTTGCAACCTCATAAACACGGATAGGAGCAACTTCTAAAACTTTAGCGACCTGCAAAATTTTGTTGTATATTTTCATGATGGTAAACTCATATCAACCGATATTGTATTTTAAACAAAAGAACCTGAGAAGTAGAGAAGAATTAAGTCTAACTGCGACAGTAAAACAAGGGGGGTGGGGGAAGATATAGATAATAAGAAGACCCACTGTACAGTCCTTTCATTACGTAAAGAGTAGAGCTGAAAAAAATACATAAAAACAATAAAGAAGAAACGTACAGCATTCATAGCTGAAACAGGGAGTCAGCCTCCATGTTGTTTTTGGGCAAGATCAAGAAGAGGAATCACTGCAGACTGCTTGTAGTTTGATGGGTAGTAAGAGAGTATTTCCTTAACCTACAGAAATATATTTAGAATGCCAGACAGAGAATCAGGATGATGCATGGGGAAACATTATTACGGCCAGGTATGACAGAAGCAGTAAACGGGAACTAAATGAAGACGAATGTATTGATACTTTTAATCTACATAACCAGTTTAAAAACTTTCCTGACAGTATTACGGCCATACATAAAGGGATGTAAGCACAAATATCAGAAAAGGCCATGCTTTTGCAGTTAAACTATCCATTTCTAGGAATGCTAAGTCTGCCTAATCAGAAGCCAAGGAGGCAATGTTAGTAAAAATAAACTCAATCCTCTAACTCTCCTTTTGTAGAAGAAGAAGAAGAAGGGTAATGAAAGCATCTAAAGGGAGATATCTAATCAGTATGGAGCGAGAGAGAGCTAATTATTCCTTTACATTTTACCGTACGAGAATAAATCAGAAGCCAAGGAGTACGTTAATGTTAGTACAAACAAACACATTCTTCATAACTCTTCTTTATGCTCTATGGCTTCTTTATGTAGAAGGGTAGTGAAAGCATGTTAAACAATATCCAGAGCTGAGCCTGAGATATATATAATCAATAGGGAACAAGAGCAAATGATTCCAACATTTTTCCCATAAGAGACGAGAATAAAGTACTTCCACGTCAACTCTTCTTAAACCTAACCAAACCAAACCAAACAAGGTGACAATCTACACTACAAAAGGCAAATTCGAATATCCATAATTCACAGATACTGACCTTGGATTTGTTAGCCTCTGAGAACTCCCATGGAAAATTCTTTTTGTTATCAGGAGAATCCAGGTGCTATATTAATCAACCAAAAATCAGATTATTATTCAGTTTCAAAAAACACAAATTAGAAGAATTAAAAGAAGCAAAGATCCTCACGTAGTTTAAGGCAGTTGAAAAGCTACGAGACGCCTGTAAAGATATATATATAAAAACCATGAGATCAAGAAGAAGCTAAAGAAGGATGCAGGAGATTTTGGGAGCACCTGAGAGGGTTGTTTACTGAAAACTTGACGCATCTCCAGAAGACGCTTCGCAGCGACCCTACCCAGCATTTTCTAAGATTTTGCGAAATCGAGAGAAAGAGAGAGTGACGTACGATAAGCTTCTTTTGATCCCAAGAGGTAGAAGCCAGACTCACTATCATCATCACCTGTCCCAGCATTGACCCACATGGATTTGGGCCCACTTTAGTGCTTTATGTTCTAGGATTTATAGGAAACGTCGACAAAACGTCAATATTATTGACGAAAACGGTCCTGATCAGTATATATAAATATGTTAGCTGCGCGAAAACATATATTAATTAGTGTAAAATTTAATTTTCATACATGAATTTTTAAATTTTGATTTTAATATATATTGACATAATTTCCATTAGTTAAAACGTTTAAGTTATTTTTGTTCCCTATTTGATATATGAATTTACCATTATATTAACAGTAAGTTAACATTTGATTAACATAAATTTCATCAGTGTATAACTTAACGTTTGATTACACTTGGTTTGAGATATCAGTGTTGTTGCATTTGGTCATAGTGGGGATGCAAACCAGATGAGAAAAAGGGGTGCGAGGGAATTTTGTTTTTTTATTAGTGTTTGTAGTTTTTTTTATTTTTAAGAAAAACAGTTCCACTTGATGTAAAAAGGTTTTTGTTTGAATAATATTTTACATTCATTCTAAAAAAATATTTAAAATTTTAAAGTTTATATATAAAAATTGAATTTATACTATAGTTGATGTATGTTTTCGCATATGTAACATATTTATATTCCGTCATTGTAAGAATTAAATAATTTTCCTTATAAATCCTGCAACATAAAGCACTGAAGTGGGTTCAAATCCATGTGATGTGTGTTATAATACCTTTTAACATCAACCAATTTATTTAATTTTATTTCCTCTTTATATAGATTTTGAACTTTTATTTGTTGGAGTAAAATCCAATTGAAGCATAAAATTTGCGTAAACTGATTGTTATTTATTCATAGCTTAGTCTTGGTGTATATACGAGGTTTGTCTCAATCTTTAACACTGGATCTGATTTTCTGTTTTATTGCAAGTACCAGCTCTGTTACAATGACTTATGTCCCTGGTATTGATGTAAGTACATTTTAACTGAATGCTTTTCTTGGTTTAGTTTGATTCTCTTATTAAATATTTGTACATTCAAAGACTCTTACATGGAATGATGATCAAACCCGGTTCTATCTCAAACTGAGAATTGAAGAGAAGCTGAAGGGAAATGTCAGAAAACAAACTGTCAATGATGCTGGGGGACAGTCCATCATTGACAAATTTAATGAAGCTTATGGGGAAAGGCATCCTTGGAAAAAAATTTGGGATCAAATACACTACTTGCAAGAAGTAGTATGAGCACTACAAGCGGCTGATTAGAAAGAGAACTGGACTGGGTTTTGATTCAGCTGGGTGCATAGACATGCCAGAAGACTGGTGGAATGAGCTCTTTAAGGTAATCATCTATTTTGTTTGAATATAATTTTTTCTGTTTGATATTGGTTGAGTTTGAATATAACTTTTCTGTTTGATATTGGTTAAGCTTGATTAATGTATTAGTTTTTCAGGAACACTCTGCATCGAGAGGTTTCAAAGACAAGCCAGTAGCAAATTTGGACTTGATGGAGGAGGTGTTTGGAACAGTTCACGTAAGTGGAGGTGAGGGATGGGCTGCTCAGCAGGGTGAAGACCATTTGGATCTGCAACGTGATGATGGTGATGATGAAGACACAGATGCTACAGATAAGCAAATTCCCCCTACTCAGGAAACCAATTCTCCTGCTGAATCAAGAACTGTTGACCCTTCATCTTCTAGTAAACCAAAAGCTAACAAAAAAAAAAATCAAGGGCTGAGCAAGTAGGACAAGCTGCAGCAGATATTCTTTCTGACAAGAACAAATTGATTGGGGCTCATCCTGAGTTCAGTTGTAATCAGCTCAGAGCTATGGAAGTGTAACGTTCGCTGTCTGCTATTAGGCTTTGGTCTTCTTTGTACAAAGCAACTATCAACCATCTCAAGCAAGATCCAACAAATCGTCAGACCTTCTTGTTCTATGAAGATGATGAGAACAAGGTTCTCTACTTGGAGTTTGCTTCTGGTGAAAGTAGAGATGCTTGAAGACTATCTATGTTATGTTTGTGTTTTGTATGAACTCTAGTGTCTCTTTGTTTATGATATTATGTTTGTGTGACTTATCTTATTATATGAGAATCAACTTTTAGTTAAGAGAGTTATCTTGTTTTAATAAAATAAGTTTTTGTTTGGTGAAATAGTTCTGATGTTTCAGGTTTGGTAATGGTTTTGATGTTTCAGGTTGGTGAAGTGGAGAATACTGTTTGGTGAAATAAGATACAAGCTTTGGTGAAGTAAAGACAATATCGGCAGTAAGGTAAGTTTTGATGTTTCAAGTTTGTCGTTAAAGGCAATAGCTCTGATGTTTTTGTTTGGTGAAATAGTTCTGATGTTTCAGGTTTGGTAATGGCTCATATTGTCAACGTTAATAACCTGGTTTTTGGTTGTGGTTATAAGTTAAGACTATATTTATTTGGTAGCTAAATATTGTTTACGGCACAATAGTCTGTGTATACTTTAATAACCTGGTTTCTGGTTGTGTCTTATTTATGTTGGTTATGTAAATTTTCAGGACATAATAAGACTTCTAATTGAGGATGATGAGCTGGATTTGTTATTTGATGAGAATCAGCACATGTGTACTCTTATAGAGGAAATGTTTAGAGGGACAGAAGCTGATACTGATAGAGAAATGATCAGGACAAACCGAGGTGGAGGTTGGTGGCGTGTGCAACGCTTCATGCTCGGCTCTGAGGTACAGTGCTATAACATTTTACGCACGAACCAGACAACATTTAAGAGTCTGTGTCAGATATTCTCAGAAAAGTATGGGTTAGTGGAGTCTTTTAATGTTTACAACGAGGGGATCATGTTGCAATGTTCTTAGAGACGGTTGCACAAGACTCAACCGTACGGGTTATAGCAGAGTGTTATCAGCATTCAATTGACACTGTGAAAAGGAAGCTTGAAGAGGTTTTGAGCTCTGTCTTGAAACTTTCAACAATTATTGTGAAGACGGCTAGGAATGAGTTCGATATTGCTAGCCCTTTTTTAGTTGATAATCCAGTGTATTGGCCTCATTTTAAGAACTCCATAGGTGCTTTAGATGGTACTCATATTCCTGTTCGTCCACCAGCCGATAATGTTTAGCCATTTAGAGGTAGAAAGGTGAACCAACCATGAATGTGTTAGCCATTTGTAATTTTAGCATGAGATTCATATATGCTTATGTTGGGGTTCCAGGGAGAGCACAAGACACAAATGTGCTCACATATTCTGCTACTGAAGAAGTTTCTTTTCCCCACCCTCCACCTGGAAAATACTACTTGGTTGATTCAGGTTACCCAACCAGAGATGGCTACTTAGGTCCCCATCCTAGAGCTAGGTACCATATAGATTTGTTTAATCGAAGAGGTCCACCAACAAACAATAGAGAACTCTTAAAGCATTCTGATTTGAGATCAATAATTGAGAGGACTTTTGGTGTTTGGAAATCCAAGTGGAGGATTCTAGACAGAAAACACCCCAAGTATGAGCTGAATAAATGAGTTAAGATCGTGACATCAACAATGGCACTACATAACGTCATTCGGGATTCAAAGGAAGAAGATACTGACTTTTCACATTGGGAAAGAGTGGAATCAAATGAACAACATGGTGATGATCAAGAACATGAGCATGTTCCATATATTCCAGCAGGTGATAGAGTTATGGAGAATATTCGCAACTCTATTACTATGGAGATGGTAAGAGGAACTAGACTTCCACATTAGCGTTAGAACTCAGGTTTGTTTGTGCTGTGTTTCGTTGTGCTACTTCTCTTGTGTTTACTATGTTTTGGTTTGTTGAATTTTGTTCACTTCAGACTTTTATGTGTTTGTTTTGGTCTGATGAAACTATAAAAAGATGATCAGTCATGGGTTTGTTTGTTTCATAGGTTTTGGAACTATATTTGCTGAATTTTGATGTTTAGAGAACTTATAACCAATGTGTGATGTATTAGCTATCGTTTATAATCAACTTGTTCTTGAGAAACGTTTAAATATCTGTCTAATATTCTACTTGATTACTGGTGTATATATAGCTTTGTTTTACTGTTTTGTAACCTTTTTATATGGCAAGTTGGGATGTCTTGATACTAATGGAGCAGACAAGTGGAGAGGGTGAACATTTAAGATGTTTATTTGTTGGAGATGTTGAGTTGTTTAGAAGTTTGAGTTTGTATTTTTAAATATCAGTTTAGAAATTTTAATTTTTGGTATGTTTTATGTACTTTGAGTTTGTACTTAGAATTTATACTTTGAGTTGTTTGGTAGTTTATTCAAATTTAAGTTTCTACTTTGAATTTTATTGAAAGTTATAGTTGTTTAAATTTTAATGCAAATTTAAATAAAATTTTTAAAATATATATGAAATAAAAATTTATAAATGTTAATTTTAAAATAATCTCAATGTATATACATTTTAGATGAAATAAAAAGAATTAGTATAGCTTAAATTAATATCAAATATATAATTAAATCAACATAAGATATATTTGTAATTTGTTCACTAAACTCATCTGGATGGAAATGGAAAAAAAAGAAAAGAATATGAAATCCATCCAGATGACTCATCTGAATGGAGAAACAAATATGCCCTAAAATCTGGATGAAATGTTGGATGGAGATGACAAATGGAGAAACGAACTGTCCCTTATAGAAAAGTTCTACGAGGGAAATAAATCCTTTATCCCATTAATTTTAACACCTTTCTTTGTTGTTTTGTCAACTTTGCATTTCTTTAGGGGTTATTTGTGAAATAACCAAAAACCGGAATAATTAGTTTTCTAGAGAGAAGTTAGAGAGAAATAGGAAAAAAGAAGAGGAGAGAGGATAGAATTTTAGTCAGATGGTTAATTTTAGTTTTTTTCGTAGTCATTAGGTGTAATTTCCCTTTCATCATCATTTAACACTTAACTGGG